ACCCTAGAGATTTTCTCCTTTGTTGGTGCAAGCTGTTTTCAGTTCACACAGTCTATTCAAGTAGAGATTAGACAAAGTGCTCTCTGTTACTGTTCTGTTGAATCAAAAGGGTGAGGTGAACTTAAATAAACATGTAGTTGACACGTATTTTAAGTGATTTATGAGCTCTGGTCCCAGGTCACCCTCAAATTCAAGGTACAGTGTATTTGCTCTTGCATGAAGTCTCCCCAACAATAGAGGCAGCCATGTTATATGTCTGCTTGTAAAGATGCCTGCGAACACAGCTTCAATCTCAACGTCTGATCCGGTCGTGTTTGTTTTCCCAACAACCTGCTGACATCCGAGATGCAGAGTAATACATTCTGCAGCTTTAGTGGATTGTCGAGGCGCAGAGCCAGCAACACTTTCTCTCACTTATCATTTCGGTCCCGAGAGCGTGGTTGGGCTGAAGAGTGGCTGTGTGTCGGAGTGAGTCTGGTGTGACAGTCGGCTCTTTAGTAATGAGGACTGAATTGTTGGTGATGACCTGTGTAGTTTGACTGACTAACTCATCCAGATCCACACTGTTACTGCTTCTATTCTCTAACATTGTCTCCTCGTCTTACAATGTAACAATGCAGCTCATAAAAGCTCAATGTAATTTATAGTACATAGTTGTGGGTAACCTACAGTGGGGCATGGTATTACTTTGTTACATGACATACAGCTCCACTGAGATCCAAGTTCCCAGAAAAATGTTTAAACGGTTAACGTTGAGCCACAAAACTTGCTTCACTTTCACAAATCTGTCGCAATGACGCTGAGAAACAAACGCTCTGCACTCTCAACTAAGTCCACTGCAAATAACCAACGCTTTTCCCCCATTTCTCATCCAAGGCGTGTCTCTGTCAGCTCGATCGCCATGGCAACATTGGTAAATGATTGCTCAGATTATCATTGGTAGTCGTTATGTAGTAGGAAGGGTTTGTTTACACTCTCACTTACTATTTAACCCAGGTAGAGACACACCATCAGCTCTTCATCGTCTGCGTGAGCGGTGAGGCAATGTAGGATTTACTGTAATGCTAGAAAATGTGTTGCCTGTGGTGCTGGACAAGATGGCAGTTCGAACACTCGCAGGTTAGATTCAGGTTAGTCCGTGTTCACAGACACAATCAGGGAGAGGTCCATTGTTTGCATTCCAGCTGAGCTGCAGAACGTCAAGATTGTGACAATAGCGTTAACGTGCCACGGCCCCAAATAACTCCCTTCAACTGATCCCATTCAGCTCCTCCCGTGTGTGGAGCTGAATTGGCGGAACATTGTTGTTTATCTGCACAGAGCTTTTCTTGTGAAGTTATTGTTTGCAGTACAGTCACGCACAGCAATTTCTGCAGTTGCATGGGATCGTCCTAACAACGGGCGGAAAGCCCTTTTGGTGTGTGAATAAAAGTCATAATGCTGAGCAAAAAAAGCTACGTCCATCCCTGTTTTGACTTTTGATTATGTAGATACTGCAGAGAGCTACTACATTATTATCAGGCTGCTTTACCAGTGTTTCTTGCAGCCACCTTCTTTGAAATAAAGAGCATCTACCAGGTCCAAAATGTACTTCTTCTTCATAATAAACATAACAAAATCTGCCAGGGAAACATATATTTTATGGCCATAAAACTGCATTATTTAACTAAAAACAATTACCTAAAGTTTTGAGCCTGTCTGAACCTTTTGAACTTCATATTTTTACCAGCATCTCTGGGAACACGTCCATGATTTTTTTTTTTTTCATGTTTTCTTTTTGGTGGCTTTGCCTGTGACCCGAATTTATTTTCCCACCAAACCAAAATTTACCTGCATCTGGAGCTTGGCAGATGTTAAATCTGGACCAAAACCCACCAACACCATAAAAAGTTATGGAATAAATGTAAATGTTACGGAAACAGAACACGGCTGCTCTTTCACTCTGCAAATGCCAAATCTGTAATCTGTCTGATGGTAATGTTTAGGCCGTCTTCTACACTCACAGTTCATCATGAGAGGAGATGCTTTTTGGAACCGATAGTTCAACATCTGCTTAGCAATTTCCTGGGGAAACCCCTGTCATATAAGCAGCAGAGAAATGGTGGTTGAAGTTCAAGTTGAGCGGTTCCATTACTCTTTTAATGGCAGCACAGATAAATCTGCCTTAGACTACAAACAATCAACATGATGCCTGGTGGTGTGACTAGAGGTTAGGGCTGCACAATCAGTCACAATATTATCAATACCGCACTATGGCTAAGTGCAGAAGGTAAAATGTGTGACATAACAGCATTATAAGGAGGTACTGTGGCCAACAATTCCTGTTCTCCAGATGTAAGAAAACATGTTTGTTTGGTACACACCCCCAATAATGTCACATAATCATGATTTTAGTAATTTTTTAACGTGAAAATGGAATTTGTGATGTAAAAATGATAATTCCCTCTAATCATGAATCATATTGTAATTGTAATATCTGTCGAAATAATCACAATAATACATATTTTTACCATATTGTGCAGCCCTACTAGACATGGTTGTTCAGTTGTAGGAATGAGCTACATATTTTTATGTCGTTTTTTTAGGTTAGTCAACTTTTTGTGATGGTTTGGGATGTTTGACCACGTAACAGGAAAGAAGTCTGAAACCGGAAACTTCAGGACCTGCAAAGGAAGTGCTTAGTCACTGGTGCTGTTCACCAACCTGTCAGCTTGCTGCAGATTATTCTGTGCAGCAGGACAGTAAGCACATTATTTGCATCCTGCATTTTGCTGGGGCCCCCTCGAGACTCTTCAAGGACCATTCAAAGTCCAGGAGCTTCACCAAGAGTAAAAGCTGTTGTGTGTTCAGAGTGTCAGCTGAAATGATGCAGGCTAAATGTAATTTGGGGCTTTATTAGCACTGCAGCCTGTTTTGTGCTGAACTAACTGCTACTGTCTACTGAACACCACAACTGAAAACAGCAGCTTTATACTGTATTCAGCATAATAGCATAAAATCTACCATGCTGGTGATTAGAGCATAAACCGATTACTGACGTTAACTATGATCTTCTGAGCCTCCGACCTCAGGCAAAAGCTGTTTGAAACCCTTTGTAACGTAGCCTAATTAATATTTTACTGCGCTGGGCTGCATGTAGACACACAGACATACACACGTACTCACTGATACTATCACTCAGATAAAGTAGAGCTGCCACTTTGTCTACATTCCCTCTTGTCTCACTGGTTCTTCCTTCATGTAGCTGCCTTCAAACAAGCAAGAAGAAAAAGCATGCTTAGTAATTACACATTAGAACTCATCAGAACTTTAAGAGCATCCCTATTCATAGCTCTCTAACACATGACTCTAGTTAGGCTGCATGCTGCCTTCACGCCATGCTTGACTCTGTTTGAACTGAATATTTGTTCATTTTCTCACTTGTTTTCAGCCTTCTTGATTCCCTTTCACTCTTGTGTCCTTCCGCTCATGATTTATATACTTTGTATGTGTTCATTCAGGTATCTAAAATGGTGGTACAAGAAGACCCAAGTGGAAAAGAAAGCCCCGTTTATTGATATGTTTGGTGCACAACCCTTGCGTCAAATATATGGTGAGTTCTGGTCTGTTTTATGGCAGAGCATGCTGTTTGATTTTCGATGGGGACAAGCAGTCTAACAGGGACACAATTAAATAAAGCAACCTGTTTTATTAGTATTCTGCAGTGTGTATCAGTGTCTATATCTCACGTGCTCTAAGATGAACACACACACAGACTTAAGTCTTATATAGGTTTGAATTATCCATTACTCTGCTCACCCCCTTGCTGTTTCTCCAAGTCGACACTATACTCTAATTTGCAGGTGCTCCGCTCGGGGGCATTGGAGGAGGTACCATTACGAGAGGCTGGAGGGGGGAATTCTGCAGATGGCAACTTAACCCTGGGATGTACCACTACAAAACTGTCACAGCTAACCAGGTATATTGGATCTTTAAATAGACTGAGATTTTTGTAAAAGCATAATATATCATGAAGAATAACTTTTGTTTTCTGTCCCTTTACGTCCAGCAAATCCAACAAATGCTGCAGCCTGTTAAGTCACTTCTAGACTTCTGTGGGTCTAAGTTTACCCTTCTCTTAATCCATAGAAACAGTCCCTATCACATAAGAGCCAACAACAGTCTACATTAAACCTACTACAAGCAGTTTTAACTGGTTATGAAACTACCGCTTTTGTCCACAAGGGCTGCCAGAATCAACCCAAAAAAGGTTACATTATTTTCCCCATTGGCCTCAGTAGACTATCATGTAATGCATGGTGGGAAAAGGGTGTGACTCCTTTTGTAACTGGAAAAACGTGCTCTCTTGCCGGTACTGGCATTATCACTGCACTGCTGTCCACTTGAATGTAGTACCAGTAGTTGGATGCACATTCAAGTGTAGACATGTTCCCAGAGTTGTTGTCAGTCACTAAAAAGTAAATAACAAATCTCTAATAATGACTAATATATTATCTCCTAACCGTCACATAAACAAATATTTAAAAAGACTGTTCCACATTACCTTTTCCTTCTTTCTCTTAGTTCACAGTGTGTTTGCGTCGCGAGGGGCAAACAGTTTACCAGCAGGTGCTGTCTGTAGAACGTCCTCCCACATTACAAGGCTGGAACTGGGGCTATTGTGGAGAGTATGCCTTCTATCACGCTTTGTACCCCCGTGCCTGGACCGTCTACCACCTGCCGGGACAGAATGTCACCTTAACCTGCAGACAGATTTCCCCAGTCATCCCCCACGACTACCAGGTAACTGAGCCATCCCTGGATTTCACACAGTCCAACAGAGTCACAGTACTTTTGTCAGACTTTTGCAGATGCAGCATGCTTTGAATATCTGAAGGAGGATATGAGAAAGTAAAACTGTTTTTTGAAAATGGATAGATTCCAAACAACCACATCTAGCTTACAGCAGGTACACCGGTATCAGTGTATATGCTGATTTGTCCACCAGATTTTTACACTGTAAAATATTCTGTTTAGTATGTATCTTGATTATAACTAATAAAAAATAAATGGGATCTTCGTCAAGATTGTTGTTAATGTTAAAAAGATTACTAAAATACATCTATATTTTTGAAACTCCCAAATTGGTCAGGCTATAGTTAAGATTTCTAATTATGATGAATGTCATGTTGTACCCCAAACAAGTCAATATGAATTTGACCAAAAAATTAATAAAAAGTTGCTGAAAATCACACAAAGTAAATGTTGGAACCTGTGGACCAAGATAATTGTTTCACCTACTGTAACATAACAGCTAGTTTTAGCCAAGCAATCAGATGGGATATGTTCGAATTACAGTTAATACAATTATACTGATAATCCATGTTTAAAAAGAGCATCCACACAAAGACAAACAAACAAAAAAGTTAAAATTGTTACAAAAATGTTCCTTCTTTTGGGATTATTATTATTTTTTTTTCAATAACAAAATAAATAAATAAATAAATAAATAAATAAATAAAAATTTGTTTTTTGCAGTATCAAGTAGAAGCTAAATTAGTCATTTGGTTGTTTGGGCCCCTGATAGAGCATCTAATGGCTGTAACATTACAACAGTGTAAATATACAGTAAACATTAGAAACACTTGGTTGTGATGAAAGACATATTTTAGTTGGTGTATACTGACATGATGGTTCCACCACGTATCTCCTTCCTCTCAGGACTCGAGTCTGCCAGTGGCAGTATTTGTGTGGGACATTGAGAACAAAAATGACTACGCTCTGGACGTCTCCATCATGTTCACTGTGGTCAACGGGTCGGGACACAAGGACGACAAGAGCGGGGGACACTGGAATGAACCATTCCACTTGGAGAAGGAGGGGGAGGCGGTGTCTGGGGTCTTGCTACATCACTGCACTACAGTGAACCCTTACACTATGTGCATCGCAGCCCGAGAACAGGTTTGATTTATGAGTTTGATGATTTCAGCGGCTTCAAGGTTTTTGTAGTAGGTTGTAGGTAGCAGCACAAACAGTTCCCAGGGAATGAACAGAATTTGTAACAATAATCACCGTTATCTGGAAGTGGATTTATAGCTGCTATCAGCTGGTTGTGAAATCTGTGTTAATGAGCCTGAGGTTTTAGATTTAACAAGAGCGTGTGTGTGTGTGTTTGTGTGCACATTTTAACAGCCTGACAGGGAGGTCAGTCACCAGACAGCGTTCAGTCCAAAGGGAACCTGCAGTGGCCTGTGGAGTGACCTCATCACTGACGGACGACTGGACTCTCCCACAGGTCGGTGCTTAGAAACACTGGCGGGATGAGACAAATGTCTAGTTACTCAACATGAAGCAGTAACATGAAAAAGAAGTAGAATATAAAAATATGGATGCACTGTAAGAATTTTAACAAATAACAACTAGTAGATCAGTCAGTTGACCTACATCAGTGGGCTGGGGAATAAAGACATAAAGGATTATGAGCAAGGGATAAACCAGTCCATGCTTTTGCTTTTTTTGTGCAGTGTTATAGAGATGACATACATGATATGCTATGCTAAAATTTCTCTGTATCTCTCTCGCTTACCTCTGCAGGATCCAGCCCTCCGACGCCTAAGGGAGAGAAGGTGGCGGCAGCATTGGCTGTGGGCTGCTCGGTTCCGGCTCAGAGCCGCAACACCCTGGAGTTCTGCCTGTCCTGGGACATGCCCAAAATCACCTTCGGCTCGAGGGAGAGGGAACACATCAGGTACAAAAGGGAACACTGCTTTTGCAGAAAACAAGCTGGAGATGTTTGTCACGACCACCACTGTTAATTTTGTTTGCTGTGGTTGTTTGGTTTGGTTCACTTTTGGCGTTGGGGACATGTCTTACATCAAGCTCAATCAAGGGCAGTTTGGCTGTCCACGCTCATTCCTTTCTTGCTCCGGTCTCAGATAGTTTTTTTGAATTCATCACAAATTGCAGCCCAACAACTTTCTTCAATGACTAGAAGAGAAACAGCCAAAGCACAACAGTTGACACCCAAACAAATACACTATTTATGCTGTGTCCTATTTCAAAGCCTCAGGCCTAAATGAAATCATTTGACCTCATTGTGAAATACTGAGGTTACAGACTTAAAATGTTAAATGAATCAAATGTCTTTGTGCTGCCATCACAAACTCGTGGCTTTTCTCTCTCCAGGAGGTACAGTCGTTACTTTGGGACCAAAGGGGATGCGTCCCCCTCGCTCAGTCACTACGCCCTAACACACTACAGACAATGGGAGAAAAGCATTGAGGAGTGGCAACGACCCATACTACAGGACAGGTAGTCCACAGCTCTGAAAGCTATGCAGCTTCAGTGAACACTAGTCTAAAACAACAATGATAAATTATGATGACCACAATACCAATCAATAATGTAAACTGTTAAACTGTTACCTGTTTTCCATCTATGAATGCTTGTAATTGTTGGCTTGTACATCCACTTCCCTGTTGCAGTTCTCTCCCCTCCTGGTATAAGTCAGCCCTGTTTAATGAGTTGTACTTTGTGGTGGATGGAGGGACGGTGTGGACAGAGCTACCAGAGGACGCTGATGTCAGCGGTGGCGTGCGCAGCGAAGACGGGGGGCTGCCAGCTCAGCCCGCTGTCGTCAAGGAATACGGACGTTTTGCCTACCTAGAAGGTAAATGACAAGGAAAGAGGTGGCTAGGTATGGCAGTTTAGAGCTGAAACACCATATACATTAGTTTATTGACAGCAAATTAATCGGCCACTATTATCATAATTCATGAATCACTTCAGTAATTTTCTGAACTTAAACCCCAGTTCTAGCTTCTCCAATGACAGGATTCAAGTTTTGTATCATTGTAAACTGAATATCTTAGAGTTTTGGATTGTTGGTCGAACAAAGCAAGAGATTTGAAGACATCACAATGAACTCTGGGAAATTAAAATTACATTTAATAGACAAAACGTCTGATTGATTAATGGAACAAATAGTTGGCAGATCAATCTATAATGAAAATAATCATATTAAGGTCTTGAAACTATCAACAGCCTTCATTGACTGTCGTTCACAACTAATTAATAATGTAACATATCTTATATAAATGTTCAGTGGAAGTGATGTGTAACAATAAACTAAATACTACGTACCAGTAAAACCAGCTAATTAGTTTTCCTACCAGTTTGTTTGGTCTTTCATGTTAATATGTACTAAGCAAAACTCCTCTCACTTTAGTGTTGTGGTTGCATGCCCTATTTTCAGTTTTATACCACAACATTCATGTGATCAGAACTAAAAAATAATATGACCCTCGTGCACTTATTTTTGGTGTTTACTTGTGAAAAACATTCAGGGTTGGCAAAAGTTCAAGTGAAAAAAAAAGTCTGCCTAACGGTATATTAAATATTTGTTTTATGACTCACATTACTAAGCGATTGTTGTTTCCCAGGTCAGGAGTACAGAATGTACAACACATACGATGTGCACTTCTACGCTTCCTTTGCACTTATCATGCTGTGGCCCAAACTCGCCTTGAGTGTGCAATATGACATTGGTAAGTGAAGTCCTGTTATCCTGGTGTTTTATGTAAAGCATGCATATTTGATTAAAAGAAAGAAAGCAACACCAGGGCCAGGTTTTACAGCCGCAATCTCTTTTCAGCCGGCAGTGTGGTTCACGAGGACCCAACAGAGAGGATGCATCTGATGAGTGGGCGGTATTCTGCTGTCAAGGCCAAAAATGTGGTGCCTCACGACATAGGAGACCCAGGTAGGAGATCCTCATTAACTACTCCTCTGCAGGTTTCAGTTCATTTCTGTGCTGAATGAATCCAGAGACTGGAAACTTGCTTGAAACCGGGGATTTTTGAATAGTTTCTCAGTACATCGTGATAACTCTGTTCCTAGATGATGAGCCATGGCAGAGGGTGAATGCCTACCTCATCCACGACACAGCAGACTGGAAGGACCTGAACCTGAAGTTTGTCCTGCAGGTCTACAGGGATTTTCATCTCACCCAGGACAGCCAGTACCTGCGGGACATGTGGCCTGTCTGCCAGGTATAACTGACCAATGTAGTCTTGATTGTACTGCGTTCAGGCCCTGTATCCCATCTGTAGTAGAAGCACAAAACCTAGGTTTACTGGAATATTTCTCACTCGGCTATCGTATTCTGGTCGGTGTGCTAGGCGGTGATGGAGTCAGAGCTGAAGTTCGACCTGGATGGAGATGGACTGATAGAGAACTCGGGATATGCTGATCAGACCTATGATGGTTGGACAGTGACTGGACCGAGGTGAGAGGATTTTTTGACATTGAAATTGCAGAAAAACGCAGATGAGTTTTTGAGATCTCTTAATCTCAGAACAAAGACCTCCCTCCTTATGTCCCAGTCATTTCAATTGTTGTGAGTTTAAGCTTTGCTCAGTGATCCCCCCCCCCCCCCCCCC